TCTAAAACTCAATGATAATTCTCCTTTACTCTAACAGCCATTGCCATGACAGAGACGGCACTGGAGCACATTGCCTTTGCCTGTAAGTTGGATCCAGCGGATGTGCGCCTGGTAAATCTCCGACCGGGCAGCAAAATGGTACAGCTGCTGCCTCGATTTCTGGCCTCCACTGAGTACCACAAACGACGGGAGCAAATCAACTTATTTAACGCTCAAAATCGATGGCGTAAACGAGGTTTGGGATTGGCCCTAATGGAGTTTCCTTTAAATGTGAGCTTCGCCTTGTGCTACCCCACGACGGTAGCTATTTACCATGCGGATGGCTCTGTGGTCATCTCGCACGGTGGCATTGAGATCGGTCAGGGCATAAACACAAAGGTAGCCCAAGTGGCTGCCTTTGTGCTAGGTGTGCCGCTAGAGCGTGTGCGTGTGGAGAGCAGCAATACAATCACGGGAGCCAATTCTTTTGTGACAGCCAACTCAATGGCCAGTGAACTGGTTGGCATTGCCGTGCGCAAAGCCTGCGACACGCTAAACCAGCGTCTGGAGCCGGTCAAGCGCAGGTTGGGCGCCCAGGCTAGCTGGCAGCAGGTGGTGGAGTCGGCCTTCATCCAATCGATCAGTTTGATTGCAACCGAGTCCTACAAAATGGGTGAGCAAAATAACTACAGCATCTATGGTTTGAGTCTCAGCGAGCTGGAGTTGGACATACTGACTGGCAACCACTTGATACGCCGCGTTGACATCCTAGAGGATGCGGGCGAGAGTCTCAGTCCCAGCATTGACGTCGGTCAGGTTGAAGGAGCTTTCGTCATGGGTCTGGGTTATTACCTAACCGAGCAGTTGGTCTACGACCGCCAAACAGGTCGCCTTCTCACGAATCGCACCTGGAACTATCATCCACCAGGCGCCAAGGATATACCCATTGATTTCCGCATTGAGCTACTGCAAAAAAGTCCCAACCCCGTTGGTTTCCTTCGCTCAAAGGCCACGGGCGAACCGGCTCTCTGTCTGGCTGTGGGCGTGCTCTTTGCCATGCAGCATGCTATACAATCGGCCAGGCAGGATGCCGGGTTGCCGCGGGAATGGGTGCGACTGGGCGCACCTACCACACCAGAAACCGTAGTATTATCAGCGGGTAACGAAATTCAACAATTTGCACTACAATAGTTTAAAAATATAGATATATCTATTGCTATTGTTATATTTATATATGTATAATTATTTGTTTTCATGGTTTGGTGTTCAAAGTAGCAATAAAATCTCTGTTACGGGGCGAAGTGAAAATGTCTATTGTCACTAAGTCCTACTGGGCATCGCATTTTTCTGTAAGCGGCGCTCGCTTCTTACGCTGGAAGTGCACCGTTAGAATTAGTTTGTACATACAGAAGTCGATATCACGCAGCTGCACAATTTGCCTTTTCGTCGAGGTTCACTTTCGTTTTGTGCTTGCAGCTGAGCAGAAGTGTAAGAGAAGATAAGCGCGTGCGGAGCACGAATGTAAGTCTCATAAACTTGTTAAATATATGTAGATCATTAAATAATGAAAGATAATAAAGATTTCAGCCAATCGTACGTAGCGAATTGAATCGTGTCGTATCGTACATCGAATCGAATGTTGTTTCTTTTCGACGCTAGAAATCCCTGCCAAATACGCGCCCGGCGCGACTCTCGGCGCCAACATTCTGAAATATTCTCTGCTGCAGAGAGTGTCTGAGGTATTCTCTGCTACGGCGGAGATTTCTGCGAAGCAAGCGACTTGCAAAGTCACAACCTGAGCTGCCTATAGAGACACGTGTTGCCATAACCTCAAAGCGGACTTCACTGTATTGGTGTGGCGAGATGGCTGACGGTGATGAACAAGATGCAAGTGCGAGAAGGACGACAAGTAGTAATCAACCCGGTGGAACTGCAACGCTTGTAACGGCATGGTCAACGGGACAGGCTGACGGATCGCCTGTCCTCGCTGGAGTTCAAGATAAAGTCGCCGGCCTAGAAAAGGGTAGCGGAGCAGCAAACATAGAAATTTATAGCGGCTGTCCGTCTACGTCGTCTGCAGCTACTGGTCCAAGGGAAAGTTCAACACCGACGCAGCAAAGAACTGAGAAAGAGGGAGCATTCTTCAACCCTTTGGGATGCCAGAACGTGAGTGCTGCAAGCAGAAACAGGTTGCGGCTAATTGGAGTGTACACCCTAGTTTGCCATATCAAGCAAACACGGCGGTGTTTAACCAGGCTACGGAGCCCAGTACTGCCGCGTACATGGGCCACACAGGTCTGGGAGCGCTTAATAGATCGATAGAGCACCCGCCGCGGCAGCAATTCGATAATGTACATTCTAATGCTGCGACGCCTTGGAATGGACCGCTGACATCTGCGCAAATCAGTGCGCGACACGTAATCAGCAAAGATTTACCAATATTTACTGGCAAACCAGAGGAATGGTTGATCTTTATCAGCAATTATGAGCAATCCACAGAGAGATGTGGATTCAGCAATGAGGAAAATCTCATCCGGCTTCAGAAGTGCCTCAAAGGGCAAGCCCTGGATGCGGTGCGTGGAAAGCTTATGATACCAGCTACAGTGCCGTATGCTATAGGCACATTGCGAATGCTGTATGGCCGCTCTGAAATAGTACATGCTGCGTTGCAGCAAAAGCTACGAGAGGAGCCAGCAATAAAATCGGACAATTTGAACACTGTTATCCGACTGGCCTTAGCTGTCCAAAACTACTGCGCAACGATAGCGGCCATTGGTATGCACGAATATCTTTACGATCCCGCGCTGTTAAACGAACTTGTTGCTAAGATGCCCAGCAATATGAAATGTGGACTGGGGTCGGCATCGAATGTCAAATGATGGTAGTAGTTTGGCCACCTTTGATAACTGGCTGTTTAATGTGGCTATGTGCGCCACTATGGTCACGCCCTACGAGATACCACGGACTGATAACGAAAAGAAGAGCTCCACGAAAACCACTAGAGAGCGAATTTTTGTGCACAACACGGTAGACAACCCTGAGGGTTCGCAGCAACAGCGTTATCAACAGGAACAGGAGAGAGTTTCATGTGCAAAGTGCGCTGGTAACCACCGTCTTTCAGATTGCGGCGACTTTAGAGCCATGGGTACAAAACAGCGGTGGGAACTTGTCAAGGAAAAGCGGCTCTGCTTTTGCTGCTTTATGCGACATCGTGCACAACAGTGTAAAACAAAGAAGAAATGTCACGTGGATGGTTGCGAGTCAACGCACCATGTACTGCTACATACGCCTACCACGAGCGGTAGTAAAGATGAGCACACGGGCCAAGGTAGCAACAAGTCAATGTCAATGGAATCTGCCGTTATGTTTCATGCCAGGTCCGCAAGTAAGACACTGTTTCGATATGTTCCAATCACGCTCTATAGTAAATCAAAAAGCGTGCGCGCATATGCATTAGTGGATGAAGGAGCTGAGTGTACGCTAATAGAAAGAGCGCTTGCAGACGAGTTGGAACTAGATGGTCCGGCGACCCAGCTGTGTCTCAAATGGACAGGCGACATAACCAAGAACGAACCTGAGTCTATGTCTGTGGCTGTGAGCATTTCAGCTCCAGAACATAATGCGGTACAGTATGCGTTGAAAAACGTGCGAACTGTAGCGAACTTGGACTTACCAGAGCAAAGTATCGGGCCACAGTTGCTTAAGTCTCGGAAGTATTTATCTATGCTTCCCATCCTGCCGTATAACAACGTAAAGGCTCAGCTTATTATCGGCTTGGACAACATCAAAATAACTGCACCCCTGGAGATACGAGAAGGTGAAAACGACGACGTCATAGCAGCGCGAAGCAGACTAGGATGGGCTGTATATGGCCGCCCTATGGTGGGTGAAAGCACCACGCCTCGTCTGCTACATATTTGCCAGTGCAGTGCGACACGTGGGATGGATGAGGCTCTGAAGAGCTATTTTGCCCTGGAGTCACTAGGTGTGAGCGTCTCCTCAAATCCGCTGAGATCCAGAGAGGACGAACGCTCGATGCAGATAATGGAGGCAACAACAACTTATCTGGAAGACGAAAAGCGCTGGCAGACTGGCCTGCTATGGCGGTTTGATCGCATTCATATGCCAGACTCTTACCAGATGGCGGTTAAGCGCCTTAAATGTCTAGAGGCAAAGATGTTCAAAGACCCACCACTAAAGGAGTTCATGATGAACACGATGCACGACTATAAAAAGAAAGGATATATCCGCCGGCTGAAGGATAGTGAGTTAGTAGCTAACACGATGTCGTGGTTTCTTCCTATCTTTACAGTCACCAATCCGAACAAGCTAAAGACACGCTTGGTATGGGATGCAGCCGCCAAAGTTAGTGGCACGTCGCTGAACGATTGTTTGCTTAAAGGTCCAGATACACTAGCATCTTTGATGGGCGTGCTAATACGCTTCAGAGAGCGCCCTATCGCCGTATCCGGCGACATACGGGAAATGTTTCATCAGGTCAAGGTGCGCCGAGAAGACCAAGCGGCTCAGAAGTTTCTCTGGCGTGATGGAGATTCGTCGCGCTCTCCCGAAACGTACGTTATGCAAGTCATGACGTTCGGAGCATCCTGTTCGCCAGCCCTAGCAAATTACGTCAAGAATCGCAATGCCGAGCGGTTCGTAGCGGAGCATCCGGATGCCGTAAAGGCGATTTGCGAAAACACATTTGTAGACGACTGGCTGCAGTCGGTAGATTCAGAATCCCAAATGATGCAGTTAGCTGAGACTGTAAAAAGGATTCATGCTAGTGGCGGTTTCGAGATGCGCCACTGGACATCAAATTCAAAGCAAGTTATGCAGGCGCTGGAAGACGACTGTGAGGGCTTGGACAAGCGTATCAGCACTCAGGATGAAGCGCAAGAAAAGGTCCTGGGCCTGTGGTGGCTACCTGGACAAGATCTGTTGACCTTTGTGGTAAAGCCGAACTTGCTGCAAAAGCATCTAAGGAGCGCCCAACTAAAAGACGCGTTCTAAGCGTGGTCATGTCTATTTTCGACCCGCTTGGGCTGCTAGGATTCTTTAATATACGCGCCAAGATCATCCTTCAGAACATATGGCGATCCAACATCGGATGGGATGACGACCTTACCAAAGAAGACGAAGTGGATTGGCTACACTGGCTAGATCTAGTTTCAAAGTTGAATACCGTCCGTATTCCACAATGTATGAAGTGGGTGAGCCGAACCCAGACTGTACAGATGCACACATTCGTGGACGCCAGTATTAATGCTTATGCAGCAGTTGTATATTTGCGGGCTGAACATGATGGCCAAGTACATTGCAGTTTAGCCGCCTCAAAAACGAGAGTAGCACCCTTGAAGCCCGTGTCTATACCTCGTATGGAACTAATGGCCGCAGTCTTAGGTCTGAGACTGGCCAAATGTATCCAAAATGAAACGTCGGTACGCATACATAGACGAACATTTTGGACGGATTCAAAGGACGTGCTCTACTGGATCCAGTCCGATGCTCGAAAGTTCCAACAATTCGTAGCGCTTCGCATCGGAGAGATTTTAGAAGAATCAGATGTGGACAGCTGGCGCTGGGTCCCATCAGCTCAAAACGTGGCAGACGATGGAACAAAATGGACCAAAACGCCCGAAATTCACGGCTCGACCAGGTGGTTCAATGGACCACCATTTTTGTATCTAGAAGAATCGCAGTGGCCACGCACAGAAAAGGGCTCGGCAATAAACATGTTATACCATGCTGAAGAACAAGCCAATCACACGTCCTCTTGGAGATGTATACTGCCGGATCTGCAGCACTTCAGCAAGCTGGAGAAATTGAGAGCCGCACAGCTATGCGTACTGGATTTCCTACGGATTGTTACCAAGAAGACCAAATTGGACGGGCGATTAGAGCTGCAGAAGATGCTGCTCCTTAAACACAGCAAAGAAATGGATGTGATTTTTATTCGAACATGCCAAGAAGAGGAGTTTTATAGTGAGATTACCTCCCTAAAGTCGGGGCGCCGCCTAACCGATCGCAAAAGCCTGCTCTTCAAGCTCTCTCCTTATATAGATGACTCGGGCATTCTACGTATTAAGGGACGGATAGACAATATAGAAGGAGTTGAAGTCTGCGTAAAACGCCCGATAATTCTGCCAAGACGACATCGATTGACGTATCTGCTTGTTGAGTTTTATCACCGCAAATATCATCACCTGCACAACGAAATCGTCGTAAACGAACTGCGTCAGCAGTACTGGGTCTGTAGCTTGCGAGCCTTGGTGAAAGAAGTCTCCAGTGCTTGCCCAGCGTGCCGTATACGACGCGCCCGCCCAAAGCCACCAGAGATGAGCGACCTGCCAATCGAACGACTATCGCCCTATACTCCACCGTTCACATATACCGGAGTGGATTACTTTGGACCCTACGACATTGTCGTTGGACGGCGTCGTGAGAAGCGCTGGGGTGTGCTGTTCACATGCCTCACGGTACGCGCCGTTCACCTAGATATAGCTACGTCGCTCTCGACTGATTCATACCTATGCGTTCTGAAGTCGTTCGTGGCCAGACGCGGCTGCCCCCGCCGCATGCTGTCGGACAATAGCACAAATTTCAGAGGCGCTAGCAGAATATTAAAAGATGAAATTGAACGTATATCGCCGGCGCTGATCGAGCGACAATACCCGGAACTGGAGTTTACCTTTATTCCACCAGGATCACCCCACATGGGAGGATCGTGGGAACGAATGGTGCGTTTCACAAAGTCAATACTGTCGGAGATCCTGCCGCACTCTGGGCTACGAGAGGAGGTGCTACGAGCAGCATTGGCAGACGTAGAAAGCATGCTCAACTCAAGACCGCTCACTTATGTTCCCTTGGAAACTTCTGAGTCCGAAGCCCTGATTCCGAACCATTTTCTTATAGGTCACTCAAGCGGATTGCGTGAGAGAGGCTCACGGGACCGGGACGGAGCTAGCTTGGCACGAGGCTTCCGAGTCGCCAGCCAATTGGCTGACCAATTTTGGAAGAGATGGTTGAGCGAGTATCTGCCCACACTCACCAGACGTACTAAGTGGTTCCAACCGCCAATCGAACCAATATCAGTCGATGACATCGTCATAATAGTGGACGATGGTGCCAAACGAAACTGTTGGACAAGAGGAGTGGTAGTCGACGAGCACCGTTCGAAAGACGGCCAGGTCAGAAGCGCCGTGGTGCGAACCGCCGATGGAATTATTACTCGCCCCGCCGTCAAGCTAGCTAAGCTTGACATTAAAGTTGGTAACACACTGCACGGACGTTCGTGAATTACAGGGTGGGGAATGTTACGGGGCGAAGTGAAAATGTCTATTGTCACTAAGTCCTACTGGGCATCGCATTTTTCTGTAAGCGGCGCTCGCTTCTTACGCTGGAAGTGCACCGTTAGAATTAGTTTGTACATACAGAAGTCCATATCACGCAGCTGCACAATTTGCCTTTTCGTCGAGGTTCACTTTCGTTTTGTGCTTGCAGCTGAGCAGAAGTGTAAGAGAAGATAAGCGCGCGCGGAGCACGAATGTAAGTCTCATAAACTTGTTAAATATATGTAGATCATTAAATAATGAAAGATAATAAAGATTTCCGCCAATCGTACGTAGCGAATTGAATCGTGTCGTATCGTACATCGAATCGAATGTTGTTTCTTTTCGACGCTAGAAATCCCTGCCAAATCCGGCCCGGCGTGACTCTCGGCGCCAACAATCTCTTTACTCTGCTCTCTAGTCCAACTATGTTTCGAGTTTAACAATGTTTAATCATAAGATATGGCATTAATTTCTTTTTGCGCTTTGAATCAGTGTAAATCGTACCTTTAAATTCTAATTAACACAGTTCCCGATCAACCGATACTCTTAAACAAATCAAAGAGATTTTTGATATTCTCCCAATTTAAGCTTTAAGCAAGAGAGAGCCGCCTGTCATATCGATCGGTTGTGTTTAGTTTTTTGTTTACTCTTATCGGTGATTTGCTTAGAAGCGATATGAAAAACACGAATTTAAGACCGCTGAATTGAAGAATAAAGAGAGCAGCTAATAAACTGAACAGTTACAGTAGTGTTAAAATCGTCGTGGGGTCAACATCGGAATTGGTTGCAGCTCATTGTGAAATTCATCATTAAAAACTTTTTAAACATAGCAAAATCAGATAAATACACCTGACTGACGGTAAATGCAAAACTAAGCACAATATCGGGAAGTGCAAATAAAAAAGCTTAAAGACAAGTACGTATGCATGTGCACAGAGTTGTGCTGTTTCATTCAATTTAACATTGAAATAAACTACTGCATTTATTCACTGATTTCTGTCTGTTTCTATGCGAACTAGTCTGTTTTAGTTTTAAAGGTATCTATATGAAATTTTGCAGAAGTGCCTCTTTCTGTTGCACGCAGTACATATGTACGTCGGAGCCAGCTGGATCGAACCACTATATCATATAGCTGCCATAGGAACGATCGGTCGAAAAGTAGGTACAGGAAAAACTTTTTGTTTATTTAGATATCTTGACCAAACTCGCCATTTATTAGTTTTACTGTGCTCCTCAAATCCTATTAAGATCGGACCACTATATCATATAGCTGCCATAGGAACGATCGGTCGAAAATTAAGTTGTTGAATGGAAAACTTCCTTGTTTCTCAAGATATGTTAACCATACTCGGCATTTACTATTTTCCCTGTGCTACTGGCAAAGCACTATGAGCATTATGAAAAGGATGGGTCTGCAAGGGTATTAAATCTTCGGCTTGCCGAAGATAGCCCTTCTATCTCGTTTTTTTATTAAGTTCAGTCGAGTTTGTGCGAAAATTTTAGATATATCCTTTCCAATTTTCCCGTGGAAATTTGAAATCTATCCGTACCATCCTGATCTTCACTTCTATTTAAAAATATGTTTAAAGTGTATCGAATAAAGAACCAAATGTTGGAATCAGAGGCGTCCGCCCTTGTTAGTCTTGTGGTAAGAATCTTGAAGCCGAAAAAAAACTTGCGTTTACAGACCAGGATTTTCGATCCAATAGCGGTGAACTTTGCGAGGGCGTGTCAAATAAGTTCTAATAAAGATCTATGAAAATGAGTTTGAAACCGATAATAAACCAAAAATTTAAGTTAGTTAAGCTTTTTCGCCAAATTCCCACATTTGCGGGTGAAATTTTCTAAATCGCTGAAACACGTATTCATTAGGTTCTCATGTAAAGCTTTGAAAATAAGTTATGTACATGCAAATCAGACAAAACTTAAAACTTCACGGAACAAATCTTAGAATCGCATTTTCCACCGAGGAAGCCTTATTTTTCGCGATTTATCCACACTAGCGGGTGGAATTTCCCGAAATCCCGTCATAGTGAAAACTTCAGGTTCCTTACTCTTACAGTTTGGGCTGTGCGTTGATCACCAATCAGTCAGTCAATAAGCCAGTCAGTCGGTCAGGACAAACAGTTCTATATATAGAGATTCCATCAGTTGTTCATTATTTAAACTATATAGCTCTTGTTTCAGTTTTATTATTTAATTAATCTTTGGGTCTGGCTCGGTTAGGCTCGTTGATTGTTCGTTTGAATGCATTTATTTGCTAGTTGGCAACGCCATATTGTTTAGCTGCCGGTTTATATATAAAGTTGCCAGACTTCTTAATATCAGATAAGAATTGTTTTTCACAGTCAGCTGTTTTTTGATTACAAACATTGGGGCTGACATAAATACAAAGCATAAAGCGTACCCAATATCTATGATAAGAATTTAAAAGGCGGATATTTTTGATATTTTCTTAGATTGGTTCACCTAACATTAACGAGTACAATATCTGTGTTGCCAATTAGTTTCAGAATTTCACAGTTATACGAAATTTACCAAAGTAAATGCAGATATGTCCACACTTGAATCTTCCGGTTCTTCAAAAACTGAAACCATGATGGAGTTAATAGATATTTTGCTTGACTTCATGGATATTACAAAGGAACCAAACTTGAAGCGTGTTATTCAATTTGCCTTCGGCATACTAAACACAAACAACATTGAAAAACTGCAATTTGCTTCGAAATTAATTTCAAAGTTGTTTGCGGTCATATTCCCTGACCCAGAAGAAGATGAAGTATTGCAGACCCGTAATCCCCAACTTGTATCCGACTTCATTTTGTGTGTACAAATGTGGACTGGCCACTTTCCAGATGAAGGCAAGTTTCTATTGGCTCAGCTCTGTTCAAGGACTTTAAATAACGAGAATCAGCCACATGCTGGTCAAATATTAGTGCAATTAATGGACGACATTTTGCGCGATTTAGGAGCCGAATATATTACGTCTTCGAAGCTGTATTGCCGCATACTCAAACTACTAGAATCGAATAGAAATGAGGAACGTATATCTGGTCATTTGCTTTTGAAAAAGTTACTAGACAAGAGCAAGTGCACCCAACTGAATTTATTCTCCTATATTAATGTAATGGAATGCCTGAATATTGAGCAATCCCCACAAAATTCAGCTTCGTTGAGTGCTCGGCTATCGCTTCTAAAGGAAAATGACACAGATGGAAATTGGATGCGCATTTTCTACAGTAGCTTGTTACAGGACAGCAACATTCCGAGGCTGCACTCGAGCCTTGTCTTTATTATGGATCACTTTACTATTGCCGAACTATTTAGCGCCCATCTACTGAAAGAGTTCCTTGCAGCTACCAATAGTCCGAATCTGCACGACATGGAGGGTATCAATTTGCCAGAGCAACAAATGAAGAAATTTTTATCAGACAATGCCCAGAAGCAGTTCTTCAAGGCGTTTGGAGAGGTGGCCTGGTATGGAGTTCCTCTGTGTCGTTGGCTGGATTGCATTGAGACTGGGATTAAGTTACAAATTACTAAAAAGCATTTGCTGAAAATAAGTGAACTTGTACGAAATATAGCAAATTTGGATTTACGAAACAGTGCCAGTAATCGGTTTTGTGAGGTCTTTAAGGTGGGCGAATTCAAATAAAATAATTTTGAAGTAAATACTATCTAATTCTGTTATCTATTGCAGGTCAGCATCGAGAGTTTGTCCGTGGGCGATTTCATGACATTAATAAGGACGCTGTATAATGACAACGATATTGTCTGTGCTTATGGACTGTATTTGCTTGTGAGGATAATCGAGAATTCCCAAAATATAAACGAAGAAATGGTTAATTTTACGAAAAGCTTCTACGAATCCCTTAGTGATAAGCGGGATAACTATTATCTATGGGATCCACTTATGGAACTATTGAGACAATTCGAACATGTGCCAAAAACACAGCACGGATGGTGGCGTTTACCTGCTTTCTTTTCTTTGCATAACAATGATGAAGTTCGGGATTTTTATCGTATTGAGTACGATGTAAATATTGAATTGATCAACGAGTGTAAAAATCTAAAAGAGCTACAGAAACATTTAATTTATAAGCTAAATTGCCAAACGGAGGAGGAAACATATTTTGTAATGCAGCAAAGTGTCGATTTATTTCTTGAAAAGAATGTGCATCACTGGAGTCAACTCGAAGAGTTTCACTTGGATCCAGTTGAAGTTTTGGAAAATGGCGCATTTAAAACATTATCGCATTTGTCAAAACTATTGAGTGCGCATGACAAACGGCTGCAAGATGAGAAAGTAATTGAAACTTTTCAAGTACTGTTAAGGAATTATCCCAGACGCTGGGTCATGTAAGTAGTTGAATCAAATAAAAAGTTGTAACCGATAAGAATTTGTTGTTTTCGCAGCCCCGGAAACATATTAAAATATGTATATAAGCATCTGGACATATATAAACCGGAAAAGCTTTTGGACGAAATGATTGCCAATAGTTCTGACGGTTGGGAGCTTGGAGCGATTTTGTGTAGCACAAATTCCATATCGGTATCTAAGCTTATAAATGGGTTACTTTATTGTGAGACTCCAACAGGGGTTTCACGGTAAGTTTACTATTATTTTGTATTAATGTATTATAATATAAATTATTTTTATATTTTTACAAAGCAACGCGTATGCATATTTAAATAGTTTATCGACCTGGAATATAAATGATCATATTAAACGAAACAATTATATTACGTATGTCAGTGGAATGTATAAAGAGCAGTCGGTTCATATACTGTTTAATGAATTATTAAACATCAATGAGCATATTACTGTAAAAGAAAGTGTAGAGAATTCGAGAGATCACAGAATACAAATGCGCATTGCCAGAACACTTTTTAACTACGAATGCTTTGGTGAAACTTTGCCGGAGTATGTGTCTGACAAACTGTGGACAGCTCTTGTGGCCCCAAATAATCCACTAAATATTACGTACCTTTTCGAATGTCTGGTGGCAAAACTTTTGCCATCTTTTCAACTGTTAATGGAAAAACTGAAGTCGCTGACAAGCCTGCAATCCCATCAACAAGAGTCAATCATATCTGTTGTTTATATATATTGCATGAGGAATTGGGATTCTCTAAAATTGGAACAGCTGCAAACAGCTTTTGAGTTGCTTTGGCTACATATGATGACTGCTAAATTCCAGACAATGTTTTTTAGTCAGTTGGTACTACACCGACTGGCTGTTAGATGTGAGGAGAAGAGGTAAAGCTTATATCTTATAATATTTTAATGGCTTTAATTTAATTATACCTTATATTTAGTATTGACCTCCCTTTTGTCGATGCAATTAAGTCTAACCTAGAATTGTTAATTGGAGATAAGACTCCCGAGTATCGTGTGGAAGCTCGTCTGCTGCTACCAGAAATATTAAAGTATTTTCCTCCTGCCGATTCAATTCTTTATATGACGAATGCACCGTTTGACGAATACAATAATCCAAAATGGGAGTATTCACAAAATCAAATGAAAAAATTGGACAAGATCCGAACTGCCTTTAAGGCCAAAGGTCTTACTGTTTAAAGTTCATATAAATTGTTACAATTATGATTTAAAAATAAATGTAAAGCAATTGTATGAAATGTTTCTATTTTGTGATTGAGAGAAATATGTTAACTGTATATTAAATTATTACTGTTTAGATTTAAGCAGACAAAATTAAAAAATAGTAATGAAATATTTAAATAGTACACACAATTTATTTATTACTTCCCTTTTTGTATGGCAAAAATTAATACAAAAAAATTAAATATTAATTTATGTATGTATAAAAAGCTTAAAGCAAACTAAATATGTATATGTAATTGGATGCTTGTTGTTTAATCCAGCATCAATCTACTCCATACGTATTTTATCTAGCTTATGCGAAGCTCTATAATAATAAACTGATCCGAATCATACATATAATAGACACGATTCTATTTGCTTTTTATTCTCACGCAAAAGCTTTGCATAAGCTAGTTAACTGTTCGTTCGGTCAGTAAGATAAGTAGAAAAAAAATATAATCGATTTCTTTAAAATAACTCATACAATATTTTGTGCTGGTGTTTGTAGTTGATTTTTTCAAGTTAGCACCACTAAAATATAAGAACAGTGAGCTTCTCGTTAAATTTTCATTTCAATTTTCTTTTGGAAATTTCGAATGGAATTCTGTTTGTGCGTGTGAGTGTGTTTGCAAGAGAGGGAACGAAATCAAGCGTGACTGGTAAAAGATAGATAGATATATATATATATATATATATATATATATATATGCAGCTCCCAAAAATGCTATTAATTGTAAAAACACTGGCTGTAAGGCCAATCAGTAAACCAAAAGAAACAGGTCCGAAAACTAATTAATTAATTAAATACAAATATCGTTTAAAGCACGGTACACACAAATAACATACAGCGTTAGTTTTAGTTTCGTGCTTACTGAAAGCAAATAGTTATCAAAAATGCGCTGTCGCAGCAGCTTAACCAAGGCAGTTACAATAGTATTCATAGTTATTTATACATGTACGGTACACACGCATAATTAATAATCTTAAAAGGGCGCCACAAAGCTTTTCAAAACGACACACAAGTTGCACAAAATGATTTAACATACAATAAAACTTTAGTTGCTTAAATTAATTACAATTTTGTTCATCCTCCCGTCAATTGCACCAACCTAACACGCGCACTTGTGTCTGTGTGGGTGTGTGTGTGCGCATGTGTATTTGTGCGTAAACGAAAAGCAGCAATGACAAATACCACAAAAAATATATAAGCTACAGCATTTTTATGGCACACACAACAAACACACACTCACATACACACAAACCGGACAGGCGTTAATGAAAAAATAAAACTTAATCGTGGCCATTTAGAGCATCTTACATTTAAATCTACGGTTCGGCTTATTCGTTTTACGTCCTTTTCGTCCCTTGTTATCTTTATCCTTGCGTATTTCGCGCACCAATGTGTAAAATGCATCATCGACTCCCATGCGCGTTTTGGCCGATGTTTCAATATATGGAATGCCATATTGCTTGGCCACCTGCAAGTAGATATACATATATAGTGATATTCATGATATTTTAATAGAACGGACGTGCATTTACCTCTCTTGCTTGCTCGTTCTGCACGTTCCAAGAAGCCAGATCACATTTATTGCCCACAAGCACCATTGGCACCTCCTCGGCGTCCTTGACACGTTTGATTTGCTCGCGATATGTGCCAATATCTTCAAAGGATTTAGCACTATTTACCGCAAACACCAGTAGAAAACCCTCACCGGTGCGCATATACTGATCACGCATGGCGGAATACTCTTCCTGGCCGGCAGTATCCAGAATATCTAGCAAGCAGGTCTCACCATCTGACAACATTAAGATTTTGTTTACATTTGAATAGAAGCTAATCGTCTTTGCAATGATAATAGTTTCGCTCAATACACACCAATAACCACTTGCTTTCGATATGAGTCCTCGATTGTGGGATCGTATTCATCTACAAAATGATTTTGGATGAGTTGTATGGTTAGCGCCGATTTGCCAACGCCACCGGCACCAACAACAACTAGCTTGTATTCCGTCATTTGGCTCCGTTCGCTCCGTAGTGCCTGTCGATGTTTACAATTGCAGTCGTAAGTCTAACAAATGTATGTGTGTGGGTGTGTTGATCGTGTGGTTGTATTGGTGTGCGTGTTCCCCGCCCCACTCAAAAATTAGAGCTGCAACTGGAGATTGCGGCAACTGCAAGTAGTACGCAAATTATTATTAATTAAAAATGATTAAAATTAATTAAGCGCATAATTAGGCATAAGTTAATGTGAGTCAGAGTAGTTTTTGACTGCGTACGGGCTTATATATTTTTCTTTACCGCTCACACACATACACGAATACTTGCACGCACTCACACAACGAGAGAGGGAGAGATGACAATGACTCAAGCGTTGCACAGACCCTTCGCAAATCTGGCAATCAATTTGATCAATTATACAATTCAAAAAGCACTAGATATCCCACTGTTTTTAAACATATTTGTAGGATATATGTTTTTGCTGATATGTAGCTTGAAGTGCAGGCTTATCTATGCATGTTGTATGTATGTATGCTGCCGGACCTTCTTTGTTGCTGTCTTTTAAATTGGCTCCTCCTTGTTTTAAGTTTTCTGCTTACATCAATTTCAACTAAACGGCCTTAACTGCTAATTTATATGGAGCTTAACACTATTGCGTTTTTTGCAATAGCTAATGTAACAATTTGTGGGTAACAATAATTTACGGCTTTATTTTTTCTTGTCGAAAGAATTTTTTATATTGCCGTATTTTGTAAGTGTTAGCTAACTTCGCATGCTGGAGCCTGTTGTACAACACTGCCACTGAGATGAGATAAAAATAATCGATGCATCGAGGTAATTTTTCGTTGAGTTCCCCCACATAAAGAACGTCAAATGAGGGTTACATTTCCCTTAGATTTTATCAGGACTCCATTTTATGCGGTGAAACTTAACTTTATTGCGTGTTTTATTAAATACAAGCAATTTAAAGTTGTCGATAACACAGTGGCGGCACGATTGCCGAGTGTCGTCAAGCAATGATACTTCCTAACGATGAATTTCCGATATCTTAGAACTATCTTCAACGCTTCGAGATGAGCGAATGAGAGTTGCTAACTATCGATTACGACTCATTGCAAATATCGAATTCTTTTGAAAATCCATCCCATGGTGGAAATGGGGTCAAAGATTTAGTGGGTGACGTTTCGCCATCAAATTCATTTCCAAGGATCTACATAAAAAATCATTTGAGACGTGTTTCACACTTTTCGCAAAATTAAAGCTTTCTCGGTGGAAAGTGCAATTCAAAGATTTTTTTGGTGATTTCCGAAGCTCTACATTCAAAGATCTGCATAAGAATTCAATGATAAGTTTCAAAGCTATTTGAGAACATTTATTTTATACGTGCCACGGGCAAGGCTGGGCTATACCCGCTAGAATATATATATATATAATATATATAATATTGTAAAGTCCGCACTCTTTTCTTTTTTCCACTCAGTTCAACCGCTCAAACATAAGTGCCGTCTCCCCTCCTTTTTATCGGTGTTGTCTTATTTCCAACATCGACACATTCCCTTATTCTATCGATTCATACATCGCTTAAATCTAATACTTAAGTATTTATTGCAATCTTTACAATATATTAATTAATGCAAATGTAAACAGTACATCTTATATATTTTTTAAACATTTTAAATACCAACAAAATTTGATATTTATAATGACCCATCATCGATAGTTAGCAGCTCTCATTTACCCATCTCAAAACGTTGACGATAGTTAAACGCTTAATTGCTAACATTTAAGAAAATAAGCGATAATGTTAAGCACCCCCTCTGGAAGTGAAGTCCTTATAAAAAAAACGAAGTGAAAAAAATAAAAAATATTACCCCACCGCGGTGGGCAACGTTTGCTTTCTTATATTAAAGAAAATACGTAATAAAGTTACGTTCCGCCGCCGGAAATGGAATGCTAATAAAAATGTAATCGAAATAGACTTATTTGGACGTTCTTTATGTTGGGGATCTAAAACTAAGAATTATCAAAAATATGTCGTTAAATTTAAAATCGCAGCAATCGACTTCTGTTTTCTTCTGGTCATCGAAATGCCGATAACAAAAAGTTTGTTGCCAATCGGGAACATATTAAAGTGTCTTTTTACACAGATGGCAACTCCTTGGTACATTATTAGCATAATATTGCATTTTTGCTAAGTTTGTCGCTAAATATTTGAAAACTTGGCGCGCAACGCTCTCTGGAGCTACATTCGCAATGCAGAGTTAAAAAGCTTACTGTCTGTAATTTTGGACAGAGTATAAACACAATCTGTTGTGCTAGTTAGTGTAATTGGAACAAGCTTCCCGCGCACAACAATTGCTCAATTGTTCGTAGTTAAATTGCCTAACTTGCAGCTAAATTGTGAAGTTTTCTATTTTCGGATTGTGCAAATTGTACCCAATTATTTTTGTTTACTTTTGAAAGCTGGGCAACCAACGTCGACGAGATACCGACGCGTCGGTAAGTGCAAGTGAAAAATGTAGGTCTGAAAAACTTTCTCTTTTTGTGTGTGTTGTATAATATTGAATCTGCCTACTTCACTGTCCATTTTCAGTGGCATGTTAAAAAATGCACGTATACAAAGGCGAAGGTATGGCTGCGAATGTCAATAGAGAACACGCTGAGCAATATTTAGAGAACCTTTTGATAAATGGTAGCCAGGAGGGCGATAGTGGGGCAGAGCTGGAGCTGCCGTCATGGTACAATGAACAGCTATTCAAGCGGTAAGTGCTATAGTAAAATTAAACAAGCTAGGTATGTATGTCTAAAAAATTATGTTTGTACTCCTCATGTACAGGGGTCAGAGATATTTTAGCAAATATCGCTTTGTGATGACTTCAGGCATGTTGGCTGGTCTGATCGCAGTTCTTGCCATACCATCTATACTCCGCGTACTTATCTGTACTCGTCAGTCTTCGAATGCCCTCACTGCATATCGCCGTTATTTGCGCACCATTTTTCATACACACGCCTGGTATTTCCATTCCATTGACGATAGAAACAGCAAGTTCTGGACCAGCATTGCTGCTGTGAGACAGGCGCATTCGCGCTCTAGTCATGCCTGCCACCAACGTGGTGCTGGCCAGATAACGCAAAAGGATTTGGCCTTGACACAGTTTGGTTTCATTGGCTTTATAACGCTGGGAGCACACCGAATACAGCTTTACGATGATGATTTCCTGGAAGCTACATCGCATATGTGGCGTGTGCTGGGCTATTTACTGGGCATTAAAGACGAATACAATATTTGTGGACGTAACTGGGTGGAATCCAAAGAGCGTTTGAACATTGTCATGCGTAGAGTATACACGCCTGCGCTCGAGCAAACGAATGAGGAGTTTTACCGCATGACGGAAGCACTTATCCATGGACTTTGGCATGCCAATACAATGCTGTCGGTTAGAGCAAATATTTACTTTACCAAGCGCTTGGCCTACGTCAAGGGTTATGAATATTACAGCTTTGATTATCCTGCGGGTGAGCAAAAAGATCCGCAGCAGAAATCATATTATTATGACTTAAATTTGTGGGATCGATTTATCGTTAGTTACGGTCTGTTTGTTGTTACCTTTTTGCACAAATATGCCATTGTGCGCTGCTATTTCAATTTTCGAGTTTGGCTAATGGATCTCTTTATGTACTACTTGCCAACTGTAGCTATTTGGAAGTTTGGAATTAAATCGGCCTATGTGCGAATCTTTCGGCCAGGAGGTCAGGCACATGAGTTTCAATTAAATCTTAAGGAAGAGTAGTTGAGTCATATGTTTTAAGTGTTTAATGTGTTTATGTGATGGGGTGAATGTTATTTATTTTGTGTTTATTATACATTGGCCTCCTATGCAATTTATAGACTTGTTAAATATAATCGTGCAATATGTTGCCTTTTGAAAATTCCGCCTTTTTATGTTACACTTTTCAGCACTGGTCGTAAATATTGCCGGCAAAGCCATTTATCGATAACGATAACAGTTTGTATTATTTTGCTTGCGCGTTTTTGTCAGTTTTCTGCAAATTATTAATCTATAACCAAAAGTAATAAGACAAATACTAAAAACATGTTTTATCACGTAAGTTACACTGTTTATTTTGTGTTGAAACTTTTGTTTAACTTTGCGCCACAAAGATTTCACTTGAACACGAAATTCTGCTACATCCGCGCTACTTTGGGCCACAATTGTTGGAGACGGTGAAACAGAAGCTCTACTCGGAGGTGGAGGGCACATGTACAGGCAAATATGGTTTCGTTATAGCTGTCACAACTATAGACCTGATCGGCTCTGGTGTTATACAGCCAGGTCAGGGCTTTGTTGTATACCCAGTGAAATATAAGGCTATTGTGTTCCGGCCATTCAAGGGTGAAGTCCTCGACGCTGTCGTCAAACAGATAAATAAAGTGGGCATGTTTGCCGAAATCGGACCATTATCGTGTTTTATATCGCATCATGTGAGTTTGGAATTTGGTGTGTGATTGTGTATTGAGTAATTTTTACATTTTTTACAGTCTATTCCCGCTGACATGCAATTCTGCCCAAATGGCAATCCGCCATGCTACAAGTCCAAAGATGAAGATGTTGTCATCTCAGGGGAGGATAAAATACGCCTGAAGATTGTCGGCACTCGTGTTGATGCCACCGGCATTGTAAGTGCATTTCTTTTCACAAGGATTTGCATTTAAATTGTAAACATTTAATTTATTTCTTATCACAGTTTGCTATAGGAACTCTGATGGATGATTACTTGGGACTGGTCTGCAATTAATATAAACCAGCAAGAATGCAACTCAACGTAATATACAATTGCTATATATATGTATATATATATATATATATATTTTTTTTTAAACTTTAATGAAATGCGTTTTAGATTGTTAAATGTCTAGGTGTATATATATTATAAATACTTTATAAGATTTGATTTAAATTCAAAGGTACATTATGTTTGTAATTTAGTACAATTCTTTGTGTGCTGGGTTTTAGGTTATGTGAGAGCTACAAATATGGATGGATATATTTTAAAGTAATTAAATAGCAAGTACTAAATTTATATGTATATATATATATATATATATGTATATATATGCAAATGGGGCTTAAGTAATGATAAGCGTACAACAACAAAGAAGTTTTTAACAAGCTAAGTGTATACCCCTGCAGAGTAATTGAACAAAAAGCTGCGTTGGAAATTCGGGAAAGTCCTCTACATATTCTGCAAGGACATGTTACTTCGGTGGGCCGAAGATCTAAGTTTCTTAGAAAAGATTGCACAAGAAATGAAAGCACGATATATTAAAGCAAAGTTCCCGCGTAGGTTTTGATCAGGTTAAATACTTAGGAATTGAGGGCGGATTGGGCAACGTGCATGATTGTACATACTTAATGAATAGCATTACGCAAATCTATAAAAGAAAAGTAGAATATTTTTGCGATGCATTCCCATAGATCACGTTTGTATGCGCCTGTAGCCGACTCATAGGTCCCAGGAGAACAAATGATGCTTGACAAGCATATCGCGAACACCATCCTTAAGTGGCTGCGATTCCTTGCCACGCTTGGGCGGAAGTTCCCAGTCCGGATTCAGGTTGAAGGCAAACTGTGAGAGTATGCGCAATTCGCATTTAATTTGCACCCAGCCTGGGGAATCAATGAAGCTCCAGGTGTGATACCATTTCTGCACCACCTCCTGGCAGGCGCAAAGTACCTCAAGCCACAGATGCAACACCTGCTCGTTGAGGCCCAGACAGATGAGCGAACGTAGTTTGACATCCATTTGGGCATGCGCATTGTCGTGTGTTTGATTAATGGTCTGCACGCAGCGATAAAGTAGCTCCTCGGGCGTCAATACCTTGCCATCCTCATCTAGGCGATAAGTTTTACAAAGCACCAAACGGCTATACACAGATTTAAAGTCCTTCTCCACCTCCAGCGAGGACACCTCCTCAATGAATAGCCACGGATGAATGGGTCCGCCAAGGAATGTGGGTCGTTTCATGCCATGCTCGAGGAATGCTTTTATGGCGGGCGATAGAGTGCCACGCACTAGATCTGTAACAGTCTCCGAAATGGCATCGTCGCCAGCCGAGGTATACAATTTGCTACGCTCATCCAGCAGCTGGACGAACTTAGCGGGAAACCAGCCCCGCAAACCGTTCAGCTCACCCACCCAGCAATGCTCGTCTTTTTGGCTAATGATGGTTATGATATCGTTGCGTCGGAAGCCCAACTCATCGTCGTCATGTCTCTCAAAATCATGCAGCGCTTTGGCGCGCCGTTTACGGGTGCGTGCAACATTGATGAAGTTCTCATGATCCTTGGCATGCGATTCACTGCTGTAGTTGGCCGTCAGTTGTATGTGTCCCGCAAGTTTTGGTTCGATGGTTATGAAATGACGGCCCACCTTTAGTATGGCCTCGCGCAGATCCACAAGTATTTCGGTCTGTCGTATGTTTTTGTTCTTTAGCTGATCCGATTCTGGATCGCCACGAAACAGAAATGCTTCCAGTATTGATTTACTTTTGCGCACTTGACGTCGGGCTAGCTGCTGTTTGGGCAGATTGGCGGCAGCCTCTGGATTGCCAATCTGATGACCTTGATCGGCCATCAAATAGGCCAGATGGCGGCGCCGATGTGTGTCGATTACGGTTTGGCTCAAAGATCCTCCTACTTCGAGCGCCTGCCGGAATAGCACCTCTACATCATCCACCTCGCAGCACATGGAAAGTGAATTGAAGATTTGCGCCGAATTTTCCAAGTGCTTGAGATCCTGTTCCTTCACCTTGAGCATGCCCAGCGTTAGCTGAAAAAGCACTATGGAACCCTCGTAGAAAAACCAATCCCAAATTCGAACTAATATTTTCATGTGCACCACGTTCGCGAAAAGTGTGAGAAACCAGTGCAGCGTTATCAGCGATAGATCAATGTCGTGCCGTTTGAGAGACTCATCCACGCTAGCTAAATAGTTGGCTATCAGCGTTTGCATCACACGCTGATCTGCTTGTATGCCAAGCAACGTTGAGCTGTAGTACGAGGCCGGTAGCAGATCCTCCACAATGGTGACCATCATCCAAAATGCATTCTCCTCCTCCATGAACAGCAGCAGGCAGGCCACAATGACACCGGTGCCCTGGCAGTATCCAATGTCCGGAAAGAGCCACGCAATGCCGCGCAGAATACGACGCAATCGTGGTATGCCCGTGCCATTTGGATGACTAAAGCACGCATTTGTTGGCAATATGCGGAGCAAATCCTTTTCAATTTGCTTCGATGTCATTAACTGATCGTTGCTGGAAGCTGTTATGATGGCATTGATTAAATTTATATATTTTAGGCTGTATAATTAAGTCTGCTCACCCTTGACAATGTCCTGATAGCTGGTCTCGCTTTTTCGCTTTTTGGACAGCGCACCGGATAAACGCATCCACATTTGGGGGCGAAGACTGTGCGGTATGCCGTTCTGCACCATCTTTCGCAGTTTTTCTGTGCGCTGCAGTAGCGGCTCGACATGGTCCCAGCTCAGTTCGTTGGCCTCTTTGTTGTGCGCAAACTCCAGGTGTGCTATCCACTGCAGACGCTGCTGTGCATCCTCCATAAAGGGTATGCTGAGCAGTTTATTTGAGCTCTGCTCTGGTCCATCTTCCTCCTCGACGCGAAAACCAAATTCATCGAATCGGTAATCGGGTTGATCGTTAGGTCCCGATGCTGCCAGTTCCGATTCGCCACCCAGTTTGGCGAGTATCTCCTGTGGCCACATTGATGGTGTTAATGCGGAAAACGGTCCCCCAGGATTGGGACGCAAGCCATCAGCCACGCTCAGTTCTTCCATCATGGGTGGCAATTCACCTATATCGTCTTCGGAGCTCAAGTTCTGCAGTTTGCGCTGCGTTGACGGCGTGAAAAATTAGCAATTTTAATTAGTTTGATAAGCAATCTATCATCTCAATTGAATTGTTACCGTATGTTCTTCACGGCCCACGTAACCCTCGTGGTCGCGACCGAATATGCTTCTGGCCATTTCCATATTCCGATGCAGCTAATTGTCCATACACTTTAACATAAGATTAACTAAGAATATGGGAGTTAAATGATTGTTTTTCCGAATATTTTAATTGGATTTTTTTTAAACCCCCAGCATTGTTTCTAACAATTTCTATGCTTTCACCCGCTGTCAGCTGTTCGATGAATATTGTGCTTATCGATATATAATTCACAATAATGCAGCGATTAACTTGTTAATAATTATTCGCCAGTCCTTTGCTGTTATTTGGTTAGTGGTTAAACTTAAACTCGTGTATTATTTCCTTTATTAACCTTTAAATAGCTGCTAGATAGCTCCGTTTTTTTTATAAACATTATAAGATTTGTCAACACAATATATTTGAACTATTAACTATTACTGCATCGAATAATCACAGTATATGCTGAACTTTTGCTCGCTTTTAATAACAGTGGAGCAAAATGTTAAATTGTATGCCATAAACATATGTGGCTGTTGCAGCAAAATCAGCTGTTATTGTGTTGTACGCTGACTATTTTGCTTTGTGCTGTTCCTAAAGTTATTTCAAATGAAAATAAACTATTAAAATAAACAGACATTAGAATGCAGATAAAGCCAATCATAACTTGTAAGTAATGTGCGATACAAACTCAGTATTGTTAGCTTATGTAAAGAATATTTTGATTCCAGATTCTGGCTCATTTCCACTTTTTCGGTCGCTTGAATCGCAAATCCTAAATGCGATTCCCTTGGACACATGCGAGTGGCGACGCACTTTTCAAAGACCAACAAAACATGTACGCTTGGAGGCGCAAACCCAGCAGTTTAGTGTGGAGCCACTGGAGAGATATAAACGCGGTGAATGGAGCATTTTGGAGCATCCCATTTTGCACATATTTGTCACGGAGTGTAATGTGAGTGTATGGGGCGGATAAATAAACTAGTTTTGTGTAATATTTAAGTCCATCCACTACCAGAAGTTCTTTTCGGCTTAATGTAGACAGTAAGATACATCGATAGTTATGTTGAGCGGATTTCCATTGTTCCAGATTTCTTTACTGATTAGGGAGATGCTCATTTAAGAAGGGTGGACCTAACAAAAACTTCGAAACACGTCTGAAATATTCAATAAAATTTTTGAAAATAAGTTAGAGCCGAGCCGACTTTTATCCAACCATTTTCGACAATTTTCCACACTTCCTTCAATCCTTCTTCACTCAACTTACGGTTTTGGATGTGCATTGATATCAATCAGTCAGTCAATCTGTCAGGATAAATGGTTTCATATATAGAGATAATAAGTAGTAATGTTTTTCTTTTTTTTAAGGACATCGACACTTACAAGGCTACAATAAGAGAAGAAATTGATGCCTGGCTTAAGCTGTTGAGCAGCTATGGCATCTCCGATTGGATGATTTTGCTGGTGGAGACGCTAGATATGCGCAAGACAAAAAACTTACTGCCTCGTACAACAGTGCTGGATAAGATACGTTTAGATTTTGGCAGTAAAAACGATGATCGTTGCATTTCCGTATTGAATCCAGCCAAATTTGAGCAGAAATCTACGGAATCCTTTCGCTGCTTGGTACATCGCATACGGTTCCTTATGCTCACTAGCTTTAATCGCAACATTGCCAAGTACGAGGAGCTGATACGCAGCAAGCGGGAGAAACGTAATCACGATGATTGGGATTTTCGACAATATTTCTTTATGCAGGAGGATTTGGCACTGATATTCGAGAAACTGGAATTGCCCACAGAGGCGCTTATACAATACGACGAACTGGATGCAATGTTCTCGCAGTTCATCACGCACACGGGCTTCAACGAGAAGCAACAGTGGCTGACATACTTTAAGCGTCCGCTTAGCGCTTTCCATGGCATCTGTTTGAGCCGCGTCGACAAGTTCGAGATGCGACAAAAAATACGAAACGAGGGCGTTTCACTGCTGGAATTCCGCAACTATTTGTTTGAGCGCCAGGCCTATCTGCTGCTCACATGCAATGAGATACCGGAGATTGCGAAACGACTGTTAGGTTTTCTTTTCTCCACGTTGCGTGAAGTCGAGTATATAAAGCTGGACTGCCAGGAGGGCGCACTGTGTTGTTGGGAGTTTGTTTGCGCGCTGGAAGTACTGCAGCTATGCGAACAGGCCATGGAACCCAACGAGGTGACCTGCTTCCAGCACTGTGCACCAATTTGGAACCTGGCCAAGGACAAGCTCTATGAGCTGGGCAAACTGTGTGGCCTATTGCCAGGCTGCACGCCCAGCTCCGAGCAGTTGCACATTGTGGTGCAACTCTCCTCGGGTATTGGCGATGCGCCGCCGCAACAGCAGTTTCTTCAGGCCATGCCGCAATTGCGAGATCGTTCGCCCAATCGCAAGCCCAAACTATCGGCGGCGCAACAGCTTAAGGAGGCATTGGGCTCAAATCAGACATTCCAAAAGCTATATCTCGAGCTGGCTGAGCTGGCAATTAGCACGTACAAGCATGTGACGCGATTGCGCTCTGCCCGACTGGTTGGTCTGGATTTGGGAAAATTCTACTGTGCTTTGAATGAGCCACACAAGGCGGTGGGTTTCTTTACTGATTTGTTGCGGGAACTGAAGGCGGAGAATTGGCATATGCTCAGCTCACAGACGCTGCTAGAGCTGGCCAATTGCTATCGCAAAATGGGCGACTCGCTCGCCTACACCAAAACCTGCAGCTCAATTTCCTGCTGCGCCGAGTTGGAGACACTTGTGCGCACTTTTTACTTTGACGAGTTTCTCAAATCGTTGAAAACTCTTAAGACAACGCTGTCGGCACAGCCATCCGTAGAGAATGCCAACTATTGTGTGCTGGAGGATCATTTTCGAATAGTGGACATCGAGGTGCACAATACGAAGACCATTATACAAGATGATCATCTGCTGGTGCAGCTGAAGGTGGAAAGTCTGTATCCGCGTGAGATTGTGGCCGAGTGCATAAAGCTGTGCTATGAACTGCATGTGACACCCGAGTTGGAGACAGGTATACAGGAAGTTTCTCTGGTACCTGCACAGCACAGGGAGTGTGAATCGCGGCTAAAAGTCTCTTTGCAACTTTTTCATAAGCAAGACAATACGCTCAGCAGCGCTTCGGTGGTCTGTGACACGCCCAAGACTAAGCAACCGGTGCGACGCACCAGCAGCACCAAGCGCAAACTCTCACCCAGCATCCAAGCGGATTTCACAAACATTGTGCAGATCGAGAACATGGCATTGCAGCCGGGCATTAATCTTGTAGAGCTAAAGGGGAAGGCGACTCGTGTGGGACGTTGGCAGTTTAAGCAAGTGTGTCTAACTATGTCCAGCCTGGAGTTTCTCTCGGAGCAGTTGCCATTTAGTGCGCAGCCGCCGAGCTTTGAGATTTGCACCAAGCCGGCGAGTGCCTCACTGGAATTTAAGACGCTCATCGCAGGCATTGTGCAGCCCATTAATTTGCATGTGGCCGGCGGCAGTTTCATCTTTCCAGCAGATGCAAAGGTCACGTTGCGCTGCTCCAAGAATCTGCGCATACGGCAGGCTTTGGAGCCAAATGCGCCGGCCAGCAATACCGATGCCAACTTTGAGAATGTGCTGCAAGTGCCGCTGTTGCAGTTTAAGTCGTTCGAGGAGCGTCGCATTCCGCTGGAGGTTCTTACCGATATGCCTGGTCGCAAAATGGCCAAACAACATGAGCATCACGTAACACTCAGCTGCCCTTGGTCGCGCAACGACCTTCAAATACCCATTGAGTTTCAGCCCGCCATGGAAGCCACTTGCCGTCTACACACGTGCGGCACACAAAAGTTCCTGCAGGTCATTATGAAGGGTCTGGATGCACGACTATTGCTGCAGCACGCCAAAGTTAAGTGTGATGTGACCGGCGTGCGTCTGCTGGATCTCAATCCCGAGTCACAAGAACCAATTGTAAGCCTATAATTTAGAAAGGGAACGGCGTTTGAAAATTTCACCTGACACTATTCCACTTTGCAGGAAATTTATAAATCTTTGACGGTCACCTATCTATATGAGATACAAGTGGAGCCTCTAAAAACCGAACACGAGCTGCCCATTGTTAAGGTGCACTTTGTGGTCAAGTATGCAACTCTGTCACAGCCGCATATCTGGCGCAATTATGGTTGTGCCTTTGATTTGGTCGAATACTCCACGCTCTTCAAGCTGCAGGCACAGTTGGAACCGAACGAGTTGTGCCGCCTGCGCACCGTTTGCAATTTGAATCTGAAGATTACCAAGATCAATGAGAATCCGTATGTAGATCTCATGTACGAGGTGCTCAATGATCAGAATCTGTGGGCGGTTTGTGGTCGTTCCGCGGGTGAGTCGTCGTTTATCCATTTTATCTTAATTATATATATTTGCTTATTATTTAATTCTAATTTCTTGACACATGATATACACTTTTAAATGCATATTAAGACATGGGTAAGTTTTTGGTTTATAAACACACGTAGTAGCACCCAATTGGGCTCATTGATCCCTTTAAAAACTAACCTTAATAACGATAAAACGTGTAAAAGCCCTCAGTAAATGCTCGCTCTAATACTACATTATTTATTATGATTTATTATGAATCTTCTTCCAAGTTTTGGGATTTCTTAATAAAAAGAAATTTTATAAGATTAATTTTTGGTTATTTTTATAGTATATTGTTATATTTAATTTAGGATAAGTCCCTTAAAATGGTAATGGTTTTTTTTTTAAACTGTTTAAATTCATACCGTGGGCTTCTGCACTTTTCTATATAATAGTGTACTGTAACTTCGAGTTGGCGAAGTTCGCTTTCCACGTAGCTAGGCTTTTAATTGGCTTATTTGAAAAACAAATAAATTTATGCTTTACTCAGGATCTATTATAAACCTGTCACATTAACCAATGTATTTAATAATCTTGCAGGTGTTGTATCAATGAAGGATGTGGACTGTCATTCGATATCGCTGGACGTTATGCCCCTGAGTACTGGCTTTCTGCCTATGCCCAGCATACGCCTGTCCAAGTACACAGCTGGGGGCAAGAACAAAGCCGATGCCCACTCCAGGGTGCATCCGTTTCCTCCCGGCCAGGTCTACAACTCGACCAAGAGCATGCAGATCCATGTTATAGCGAGTGTCAGCGGTGACCAGTGATCAGTCAAATGTATATAGCCAAGTATTATTTATTGCAATAAGCACTGATTTGTTAATTAGACTAACATAAAATAGATAGATCGAAAGACACTACTGGCTATCTTTCCAATTCGCCGGCTAGCTTGCCCAATTGTTGTTGCTCCACGCGGTAAAGATGCCAGTTTTCCGTTTCAGTTAAATTCGTTGCGCCCAGCTGATCGTAGAACTCACGCGCCGGATTCCAGCTGAGCACATGGAAGTCCAGTCGTCGGCAGCCTAGCTTAACCGCAATGGCGGCCACTTCACGAAAGATGCGCGCACCGGCGCCCTGCTTGCGATGAGTAGGACGAACATAGATATCCTCGAGAAATAGGGAACGTCCCTGCCAGGTGGAGTACGAGTTAAAGCAGATAGCATAGCCAATGCTGGAACTGTTGAAGGAAGTGTTGATTTAATGCCGTCAAATTGTAGCGCCCAATCTTATCGGAATGCTCTCCTCGAGCGCAAATGTTTGCTAAACAGATTTGTTATTTGACTGACACTGAACATTGTTTGTTAGGCAAACATTTGCGGAGTGTCTTTCAATTTGACGCCCAGCTTTCTAATGATCTTTCTTATCAATTGTTTGTCTCATTTACTTTGTGGCATTGTCTCTAAGCACATAGATTTGGCAATATTCGTGTCCGCCATCAAGGCCAGCGTCGCGTATTAGATCTGCGTGTGGGAAATTATCAAAATGGGTGACAAGTTCGCTTCGATATTCTCTACTCACCCTGCTCGCTCAGCTGGGGACCATCGCTCATGCGCTCAAAGTCAGCCAGTTCCTTCGGAAAGTTCAGTCATATTTACTATATTTGTATTTATTAAATACATTTATGTTCATCCCTAACCTGTATCATTTCTAGCACTGCTTTTATATCCGCCTTTTCAGCCCGACGGAATGTAAATTGATCTTTCTGCGACATATCGTTGCAACTTGCAAGTGTGCTCCGTAACGTGGCTCGATTTAAACTAATCAGTTTTTGTAGCCGGCAAATATGCTTATCTAGAATCCTGAGTGGGCCAGCCTTATCATTGCTTTTTAATATAAACTCAATGATTGTTAACAGGGCTGACGCGTTTTTACGAATAGCTTCGCTCATGGAACTAGTTCCAGATATAACATAAACACACAGTTCACATTAGAAAGGAGACAGACTCTTATAACCTTTAATATACATACATATGTATTTAGTCACAGACAATTTTACATAGTTACTTGCATAGACACAAACGCCCCAAGCTACACACAGACACGTAGATGCACATACATTTATCTCTTTTTATAAAACTGTTTGTCCTACTCGACTGATTGGAAGATGGAATTTTGGGTATTTGTAGAATTTCTTGGGGGAAGCTTTAAGTTTCTTCCGATCGGCTTTAAACTTATTTCCAAAGCACTACTTAAGAACTTAATGAATACGTGTTTTAGCGATTTTGAACATTTCAACCGAAACTGTGGTAAATTGGCGAAATCATTTTCAAAGATCTTAGTAAAAAGTCATCTGATACGCAAAATCCGACCCCCTTAATTGATAAAGATCACAGGTTGTAAGGGCGAAGTTTCAAGTTCCGTCCGATCGGCTTCAAACTCATTTACAAAGCCCTACATAAGAACTTAATAAAAACGTTTTCAGCGACTTTGGAAATTCCACCCGAAAGTAATTTAATGTTGTTCGCAAAATCTACTTCTCTTGGATGAGAATTGTGGGCGTAATGAACGAGAGTTTATTGTTTGATGTTAAGATTCTCACCTAGAGACTAACATGTGCTTAAAAAAATGTAATTACAAGTTTTGGTTGTTCGATGGATTTTTAATATAATTTCAAATAGAAGTTGAGTTCAAGATGGTACGGATATATTTACATTTTCCACGGGTGGGAACTGAATAAATAAGTCATATCTAAAGTTTTAAGCACAAAGCTTCCGACGGACAAGGCCGGAAAATACCCGCTAGTATACATGCTTCTTAAAAGACAAAATAGAGTGTATTGTATAGGGAAATATAAGTTGTTAATATAACACTTGCAGTCAAAGCATGAGAATCTTGATGAGAATTGCATAGGAAGGCAACATCGAAACAAGGTATATTTAAATTTTCAGCGGCGGGAAGAGAACTTGGTCTGTGGCTGGTATGAGAGAATATAAATGTATATATATATATATATATATATATATATATATATATATATAGCATATTCAGACACACATACATACATAGAGATATTAACACATATGTAAACACATATGAAACACACCAAAGGGATTTCATACAATCAAAGATAATTTAAATGCTAAACCCATAAAAAATATGTTTACCTACTAATAAATACAGATTGCCGATTTTACCTACGCTAAAAACTATTTAGAAATATGTATGCTTAAATTTTTAACATATATTTCAAGGCAAATAAGCATTGTAAAGTTGTAAGTAGCGAAATATTGTAAAAATTGATCGATATCTTAAATTTTGTGAGTTTTTCATACAAATTGTTTCAATTTTTGTAAAAAAGAATCCATAAAATATTATAATAGTATTTTTAGAAATACCTCAACTCTTATAACTCTTAATACTATTTCAATCTATTTGACTTTGAATTTAAGATGCTTGATGCTCTTCATAGAGCTGGCCTCTGAGTCTTATCAGAATTCGAGCATTATGAGCAGAGAGCAGAACTAATAAACACAATTGACCCCTTACCAAATATACATATTTTATATTACATATTTACATAGTTCATTTTTTGTAGTTAGCCTTTTTTTTCAATTTCTCACTTTTTTCAGTAGACATTCGCTCAATTTTTAATAATCGTTGTGTTTGATTTTATTTTTTAAAATCTGTTCTTATCTCTAGCGGCACCGTCACGATGATGCGGCTAAAGATTGTATGTACACATACATGCATACATGTGTACATACATTTACATTTATTCATACATGCGTACATTTATAATGTGTAGTCCAATGGTTCTGTCCATTGCTGGATTATTTATGTCGTCGAAGCGAACCGATCTTAAAGCCAGACTCAGCTGAGCTCATTTTGATACCCTTATGGATTTGTATTATAATTCTGTCCCGAAATGGAATGGAAATGGAAATGGCCACATCCGATTACTATATGATATAGCGGTCATAGGAACGATCGGTCAAAAATGAAGTACTCTTGCGAACTACTTTTTTGTTTCTCAAGATATATTAACCATTTATTTATTCCTTTGACTATGTTCCTTCGAATTACTATATTATTTAACGATCTGTTAAAAATCCAGTTTATGTGTGAAAAATGTCTTTGCTTTGCGCGCGACTTATACAATATATAATTTTTGCAAACATCGGAACTAATTGGAGCCATATAAACGATCGGTCGACAATTAGCTTTTGAAACAATTACCAGCGTGAAACTCCTTCCTAACATTTCTGCAAAACCGTATCAACTCGGACTATTATACCATACGGCGCCGGAAATAAAGCTCTTGTATTAAAACCACATATTCACAAGGGTATTTAATCTTCGGCGTGTTGACTATAGAAATTCTTTCTTTTTCAATTTCTTTAGCATTTTCCAACGGATTTGTTGTTGGGGCCGAGTCGCTTGTGGAGCGCGGCTTATCTGGCTGGTGGGTTCGCTTGTTGTAATTCCCGCTTTTAATTCTTATTAAATGGCCGTTAATAATTTATATTTAAATTAAATTATCGCTGGCACGTTCAATGCGCGTCGGCACCAAAAACAAAACAATGCAAAGCCAAAGCCAAACAAATGAAACAAAACGAAAGCAAAGCCGTTGCTGATAAACCAAGTAGCCGAGTTCGCTCCGGGAGCAGCCATGTTGTTGGCTCTGGGATTCATTTCAGTGCCCGCCTCGTATATGACATTAACGCTTCTCGAGTCTGGATTCTGGATTCTGTTGTGTTTTATCTTATGCCCGCAATGCGTCTTCCGGGCTTTGCATCGGAGTTGTTGCTGATGCTGGCGCATGCCGTGATAGGGCGGGCCACACCCACACATTATTATCGGCTTAGGATCCGGGCCCTTTTCTTCCCTTCAGCTGATGACGGCGCCTGCCTAAAGTTCTTCCTCGCAGGTTGTTTACCTCCTTATCTGACTTTCAGCCATTGTTTGACAATCTCGGCTACTCTTTGCCCCTTATCGCAGTTGGCAATATGCTCCTTGTGTGTATTGTGTTTTTTTTTTATCACATTCCGTGACGTCACAGCACCCGGCGTTTTGTATTCCATAGAAGTTTCCTTTGCACATTCCGCTTATCGAGTTATTCACGCCGTTATCTTATTCATTTTTGGAATTTTTCTATTGTTTTTTAATTTTCTGCAGACACCCGACTAGACACACTGGACCTCGCCTTTATTTATTTAAATTTATCAAACATAATTAAGAATAAAATTGTATTTTATTTGTATTTTACTTTCATCATGAGTTTGGGGGAAATAGTTATTAATTGCAAACTAATGCAAAAAATGCATTATTAAGTTTATAAAGCCTATGTTGCCTCTTTTTTTACATCTTATAGATAATTCTCTTTGTTTAATGCAAATTGCAATTTAAAATTCTATTGTCATTAGTATATAAATATATATGTGCATAGATAGATATCGTATTCTGATTCCGATCGTTTAAAATGAAAAAAGGTGTAACTATAGGCCTATAGGCCATTCCAGAAAAGTAATATTTATCTCTAGTTTAGTATGTATTTGCAAGGTTAGTGCGTAAATATCTGAATGTATATTTGTTTTTTGTTTAATCGGATCTTATTGATATATACATTCGTCTTGCTTTTAAACGATGTAGAATTATATATAATTAGATGCGATTTATATATAATGCTAAGCGTTTGCTTTTGAGTGTGCGCTGATGTGGCGCTTTAATATTATTTATTATATTTGCCATACACAAATACTTCTATTTTTTTCTAACTTAACAGTTTGAGGACAAATGAAGAAACTCTGTTTCAATAAATCAAATTATATTAATTGTAGTCATTTAATTCATTCGTTTAATAATATTTTAAAATTGGCTCGAATTCGAATTTTGATGTTCATCTACAACGGGAAAAAAGTCTGTATGCAATTCTCGATAGATATTAGATGTTATCGATAACACTTTGTGGCAAGCGGATATCCGTTAGAAAGGGATCTGCTCAGGTATCCAAATTTTGATGTTAGCTCTTGAATTATTCGGATATAACTGGTTCAAAGTTCAATCAGTTCTAGCATAGTTTAAAGTTGACTGGATGCTTGCAATCTTTTAGTTTTTTTTTTGTTTTTCCCATGAACATCTCAGATAGTGGTAATCAGTAGTGTTGGCGGTGTTTCCCAAGTTTCCGTTGTCATCGTCACCAAAACAAAACCTTTCCAAACGTATAGAAATATTGATAAGGATATATGAGCACACATACAGAGGCACAATCGCGCATACATATGTTATATTACTTATATACGGAGAGACATACAATTGGTCCGATAAGTATAGTCGCGCGACCGACGCGTGATGCAACTTAATCAAATCGGGTTTGGACTCCAGGGCTCTCTCTCACTCTCTCTCGCTCTCTCTTCCACTCTCTGTCGATTTCTGTGGCGTCAGTGGGGCTGGGTGGTACTATGCCGGCTCAGATAGCCATATCTTGCGTTCGCCGGTCGTCCAATCGGCGAGGCAGCCAAACTACACACACCGGGCAGCAGGGAGCGGGATCGGGGATCGGGGCACTGGGCACGGGGAAAGAGGAACGAGTTCGACCGTTTCTCCGATAATAAAGTAGCTACCGAGCTGACGAGCGTTACTCATTGGGTGTTGTTGACTGTTGTTGTTGTTGTTTGTTGCGTTTTTGAAAAGGTGATATGAAATGTGCTCTGATAAGTTTTAATCAAGAATATTTTACTCGTATTGCTTTGGTGGAACCGGGGTCTCAGTCTCACGAGTAGCATTTGAAAAGTTGTAGTAGTAAGTCGCCGGTCGGGGATTGCTTCAGCTCGGATCGGTCGGACAGATGCGGGTGTCGTGTCCCGTGTTCCGTGTTCCGTGTCCCGTGTCCGGTTTCCTGTGGGCCGTGCCGGGTGATAATCACACCGATTTCCAGTGGGCGTGATCAACAAAGGAAACATTTTGAATGCCAATATGTATGAACAGTATGGGTAATCGTTATGGAAAATTATTGCGCCGGCGCATGGAAAATCCTTTGGTAAAAATATTTGACCACAAAACGTGACGAGTTTAACCAACAGCCAGGGGGCGCCCGGAATCCCCGAAAGAGTTGTCTGCCCGGCCGTAGCCTCTGTGACACATTTATGCGGTCGCATAAACAAGGTTGACGCCTACGAAAATTGTCGGATGATTACAAATTTAACGCTTCGAGTCAGTAGTCAGCGTGTGTGAATGCCAGATGCCCGTTCGACGGTCTCCGGTCGACGGTCGACGGTCTCATCATCACCCGTAGACCACATGTGTCTAGTCGAACGCCCCTCATAATGAGCGCAACGGATCTCAAGCTGACCGTGGATTACTATCCAATCGATCGAGTTATTTTCGAATGGCGTTTGCACGCGTCACAATGACTCACGTGTTTGGTTAGCTGCTTCGCATGGTGAGTATGGATTTAGTTCAATGTAGAAAATTATTTGATTGTTTTTGAGTCAACTGCAAGTTAATTATTGTTGAATATATTTGTCAATATTAGCAGTTATGTATTGATTTCTGTATTCATTTTCTGTAAGTTCATATATTTGGAATATTCTATGCTATCTTCATTATTTTTTGAGTCTAAGAGCTTTATTTAATAAAAAAACATATCTTTCTTCTAAAGACCACCTGGTGCTATGTTCATTGTCTATGACGATATTCCATAACTTAGAATATCTCGTTGTTTAGTTGGTTTAAAGTCTTGGTCAGTTAGATAAGGTCAGCTATTCTTAATGTTGTATATTTATATAATCTATTTTATCCTGAAACTTAAGAAAACTGAGCAGTTGGGTAAAACAAATTATGTTAATTCGAATGTCAAATAGGAATACCAGAACAACAAACTCATGTATTTCGCATGTTTCGAGTTTTCAATATTTTCACTGCAGTCGAATTATTTTTGTATTTTCTACATATAAACTAAGTACATTCAAATCTGGTTCTCTATTATTATTATAAGTTATAATACATACAAAACACTGGCAAATATGGCCTTGGACAAAAGCAATACTAAAGCATACATATATGTACGTATACATCCATACTATAGCTTGGGATTCGAACCCGGATGCTCGTTGTTCAGTTGCCTAAATTACTGGAAAACTAAGACAACTCATCAACAGGGTACTCCAGGGCATATATTATATACTTTATATACATATGTATATGTATATGCAAATATTACGTAAATGATATTATGTCAAGAAACAAAAAGGAAGCTTATCTAAAGACATGGTTCCAACTCCTGCTAACTTCTCTAATGCTTTGGCTAGAGATATTTGTTGTACTTAGACCATTCGTACGCTGCCTGTATACTCTGTAAACTCTGTACTCTATGCTAAGAAACTAGGAGTATATAATTATATATTTGAAAGAAAAAGAAAAAAAGAGAAGAATTATGACGATCACATGAAACCAGCATGACGAACAACGAACCCAAAAGCGCAGCTCCGAGCTCCGAGTGCGAGTGCTCCGCACATTGCCATGGGGCAGGCAAGGGCGGAGGCGTCTTTTTTGTATCGGCACGGGGCGGGCACGGGGACGGGCACAGGGCAAGCGGCAGCATTGCGTATGGGCTTGGGGGTAGGGTTTGAGGCAGACGCGTTGTACACGGTCGCTGTCACTGAACAAGTGCTCCATATATATGTATATATATATACATAAGTCCGTATATATGTATACTTAGGGGTATATACGATGTATGGGCATGTGTAAGTGCTTACAGAAGAGCTGCGCGACCGTAGCAAAAACTGCGGTCCCTCGACTAATACGTATGTATGCATGTATGTATGTATGTGTGTATGTATGTATGCATGCATGTATGTATGTCACAGTAGGTATGTGTGGATGTTCGTATGCGGTCGACGGGCAATGACGGCCTTATCACTAGGCCCCTACAGTAATAGCAACAACAATAAAATGTACATTATATGAACAAAAACAAAAAACATATAATATATATATTGAAGAAAAAATAAGCGACGTACCCGCGTCGCCTCTAAAGAATTTGAAAACAAAAGAAATATATGTATATGTAAAATATAAATGTACATATATAACTATAAGTTTATATATATAAATATATTCGTTCATACATATAAGCTGGTAATGACTTAAGTCTCGCAACTTCCTGCCAAAGCTTAGCCTGTGGGCGGCCATGTTTGAAATAAATATATACATTATATGCATATATATACATATTTATACATATATGTATATGTATGTATATAAGGAATAAACATAGTTGCAATTTTTGTGTGCAACAGTAATTTTCGAGCGAAACTAGGCTGGAGAGTACCCAGCGGCAGCTAGATGCAGCTCCGTTTTCATTTCGTAAGATCCATGCCAAAGCTGAATCCGAACCCGGACGAGAAACACGACTTGAACTCTAGGCAAACAGCAACACGTGCAGGTCGATGATGACATATTCTTGTAAAATGCATCGCAAACAGAGGAACCGCATAAAATGCGTTTGTTTAAGAACAATGGAAGAAACCGCGACAACAAATACCGCAAAAAGAAAAAAAAAATAATAATAAGAAAATAAACCCAAACCGAACCGAAACCAAATCAGGGAAACACAATTTACATGCACACAGAACAGGAACAGAGACACATGTTCGTGTACACACTTAAATTAAACATAAAAAAAAAATTGTAGCGCATAAAAAGGAATTTCGTGAAATTCCGAAAGATAAACAAACAGCAAACAAACAACGACGAGAGACAAGATACAAAGATACATTTCTGCGTACGAGTATTTGTCTTGATTGCCACAAGCACAAGCATAGAGCACTTAATACACAATTTGAGCCAATATCTAGGATCCATGCCGAGGCTAGGCCCTACCCAGACCGCACCTACTACGATCCAATGCTGCTCTATTTGGAGGCACCCGAGTCGTCATGGACAGCGCGTGTCTCTGCTCTAAGCTGAAGTGTACCTGTTGCAGTCTACCTGTTTGTAATGTGTTTAACAGGATATGACCAAGACGTTGACGCGCTGACGAAGAGCTCGTCGAAGACCCAGCACAGACCCAGGGCCAGACATACGTCCATTGTGTACCGAGTTTAATTAACCAACCTAACTTTCACTGCCAAATGGTAGTCGCATGTTTGCCGCATAAAAATTAATGAGTTTGTGCACCGTTTTTCGCTGTTCATTCATAAATGTTGCTCGGGAATTTCCTGCCAGCCGATGAATGAATTGTTTTTGGTCCTTTTACACTTAACTAATTGATTTTTAATGAGGAATTTTTCAATGGTGGGCAATGCTTATGAATAAACGGCACGTGGCCAAAAAATTGGTACGGTTTTTGAATAGCCGATTCTATCTAAAAAAATGATCGGAAAATCCATACTTCGAGGCATGAAGAAAAACAGCATATATGTAAGATATTTTTCAAAAAGGAGTTCATTAAAAAGACAATTATTTAAACATAATACTTTTTTTATGACAAGTATAAGTATAGGTAAAATATATCTTCTATCTTTTTCAAATCAAATCCTTTTATATTTTATATATATTTTCTATCATCAAAACTGGTTAAGAAAAATAATCCGAACACAAAAAAAACTATTTTTCTTCGAAATACAGTCGATTTAATACAATTCCAACATAAAGCTGATGTTTAACATTTTTTCATTAAAAAAAACTTGATATCCGGCTGATTGCTCCTTTGGAAGCTATGGGATAAAGTGGTGAGAAGTTAAAAGAATATGAAATGGTTCTTATTTAGGAACTTAGAAACTCGCCTACAAATTGTGATCTTGGTTAAGAATGAAGAAGTATAGTAAAGTTTTCCATATAATCACGCAGTTTTGGATATATATGTGATGGAATCTCTATGTTGTAGTAGCGCGATCTGACCAGCTCCGATATATAGACCTACGCCTACCTAGTCTAGACCACGGCGTCAGCACACCAGCTCCAGCGAATAAGAGCCTCCAATGGTAGGTCACGAATGATGAACACAATCTCCGCCTAACAAAGGTCGGAGATTAGATCAACTTCCTCAATAGCCGCTACGCCGATAAACTGCTGCGGCATCACCAAGCTTCCTGGCTAAACCTAACACAGAGAGGCACCTCCCAAGGTTACACCCCTGCCATGCCCTGAATCCCCTTCTTTGTAAATAGCCCTCAATGTAAAAACCAAAGAAGCTAAAAAACATTGTGACTATAACTTATTTAACAGTCTTTCGCTTGGTAGAGATCAGAAGCTACTGGCTGATTCTAATAATGCAAATAAAAAAGCAATAAAAAAATAAAGAAAATAAAGTTTAATTAATATATTATAGATTAAAAACGTAGTATAAATTTGCAAGCAAACAGACGGACGTGGCAATATCAAGTCGGCTATATTTAATTTTTATGATGTCGGAGAATCTATTATTTCTTAGCAGCTAAATACCATAAGTAAAAATAAAAAAAAAACACGTTAATCATTTCTGGTTTCCAATATATAATCGTATCAGGTTTTCAGATAATATGTTAATTTCTAATTGATTAATTTGAGTTTTCCTTCCACCCAATTAATCTCAAATTTACAAAAAAAATATAATTTTTTATTATAATTTTATCGATTTTTGATTTTGTAAGGCTTCTTATCATCTAAGCTTTTACGTAGATTTACAGTGCAGTCTTTCAGTCATCGTCCACTTAAAATAACAATAAACAAACATTTGGCTAAAAAACACAATATTACGAGCTCTGAAAGTAGACGCCCTAATTAGACAGCGCCAGGGACTGGACATAATGAAAATATGTATTCAAAATTATATAACCCAACAAAGAAGGAATAACAATAACTATTTTGCTTAACGCTGTCAGCCAAAACAAA